CTCCAGCTGACCTTTCAGAAGAGCAGCTTTGACCTTTCTCTTTCCAGGTGACCTTATGCTCCAACACTGTGCAGAAATACGAGCTAGCCCTGGTGGTGGATGTGGAGGGCATTGGTGAAGAGGTGTTGGCGCTCCTAATTACCGCAAGGTACCGCACTCCCCCGCTTCTCTCTTCCCAGCCTCCCGGAGGCAGCAGGCCCACAAAGCCTTCACACTCTTTTGTTCTGCGCTCCCTGGAAAGGGGCTGAATCCCACTCAAATAGCAAAGCTCTAAGACCGCAAAGGCGCCTTCGTTGGAAATGAGAAGGGGTGTGTGCACGTTGCAGTGCGAAGAATAATAGTGCTCTCTGTTTTTGACTTCCTGATTTTCCAGGTGTATAACTAAAAAGGTTTTAGCAGAAAGATGTGAACAGGTGATGGTTTTTATTTTTATCTTTAAATACAGTACTCCAGAGTTACGCATCAGAGAGAGCGGCACCCACAATTCTGCAGTGTAAGATACATTTAGCAAGACAGCCCTGCTCCAGGCTGCAAGCGGGCCCCCAAACAAGGGGGCCTCCTCAGAACCATCACCAACTTCTCTCTTTTTTAACAGAGACAGCAATGGGCTCTGGAGTCAGGTTAAGATCCTGGCTTTTTGTTGTTGACTGTGTCTCCTTGACCAAGTTACAGTCTTTCTAAGGGTGGGGCGTCACCTACTGATGATGACAGTGATCCTAAATACAACCATAGGCCACTCTCTTGCCAAAGCAAACAAGGGTGCAGATCTGGGACCTCAGAGTGTACATATGAAAATGCCATCTGAAGAAAATAAATTTCTGATAATATGTCAAATTCCTAGAATTTAGGTCTGTCGTGAATCTTAGGAAAATGCACCTTAAAGTTGGAGCAGACCTGCTGGTTGCCAGGGCCATCAGAACAAGCACCTTTGCATGTGCCTTGGGCTTGGATACAGTCAAAGAGCAGCCCTAAAAGAACTTGAAGGTCAAGGCCTTGCCATATCTGCTTAGTGTTCCTTACAAAGGCCTGAATAATCGTTTTGTTTGTTTAAAAAACATAGTCATTTATTTGGTCCTCACTATACCCAAGTTTTCCTCTTTTTCTAGTCTTGAATTTTTCTGTGTGGGTTTATTCTGATACTGTCCAGCCTCTTTTTCCTGAAGCTATGAATAGAAAGTACTGATTTTTTTTTGGTTTACGGTCCTGAGAGACTATGAGTCCTACCATGTATACTCTGTGACCCAAGTCAAGTACTGTGAACCCTCTCAGCCAGTGTTTCAGGTAGCAAGGATTAGCTTTATGAAAATCACCGGGTCAGCCGACAACTTCCATTGTAGCTAAAAATGAACACTCATCCCATGCGAAATCCCAAGCTTTGGGGTTAACAGGACTCTCTTTCATGTCATTACAGTACTTTACTGTAATCTGTAGAAACTGCTCGAAGACTCTCAACAGAATTGCTTTTAGAACTTGCTCTCTAAAGTGATTTTCCCAGAGAGCCAGCACTGATGGCTTGCCCTGCCTCCTACCACACATCCATCATCTCTTACTGAGCCCTTCCATGGCACTGTGCTATTCCCTTCCTTCACGTTAGCTCCTGTATTTCCCACAATACCCTAGGAAGAGTTAATGAGGCTAATGTCAACCCCTAGAATTACCTTCATTTTACTTAGAAGGAAAATGGGGCTCTAGGAGGGGAAACAACTTGCCCAAGGTTGTGCTTGGTGAGGTCAGTATTGAACTTGGCTCTGTCTGATTCAAATGCCAGTGCTCCTCGCCAGTGCTCTATATTGTGACAGTACAGCAGGGCAGGGCAGACGCTGAGATTCACGGACACAAATGAAACCCAGTCACCTAATGATAGACCAACTGCACACCCAGGGCTTCAATTCCTCCCTCTGCAGCACAAAACTCTCCCTCCCTCTCACCCACCACACCCCCTATTGTCACAGTGCCAGTTCTGGGTCGAGCAGCTGCCTGAGCCTGCTGATCCAAGACAGCTGTTCTGCACAGGAATTAGAGTTATTACCATCATTTAGATGGTATGAGCTGTTACTAGTCCTCAGGGGACTCTGACTGATCCAAAGTGTCACAGCTAGTTAGGACCCCATGCTGCTGGCATTGCCCCCCGTTTGTCAAGGAAACAGATCCCCTACCCGAAGGAACTTGTACTGTGGGGGTCCCTTGCCAAAGGAAGGCCAAATATGAAAAACAATGGAAATGTTAGTCATTACCCACAGAAGACAGCTGTTTAAGGAGTCCTGCTTCTAGCCCTGTTTTGATTAAAAAATGGTGACTGGAAGCTAAGGGAGAGAGGGAAGGCAGGAGAGAAGATTTGAAAGTGATTAATGTAGTTATTAGAGAAAAATACTATGTGACAGTAACAAATGTGTTTAACGTGGGACTCTTCGTTCTCCATATGTAAACAAGCTTCCTTTCCTTCCAAGTTCTTTAACGGGCCCCTTCCTTTGAGCAGGTGCGTTGTACCCACCCTCCGCATGGCTAACGAAGAGGTGGACTTTGGGCGCTGCTTCCTGAACTACCCGTATGAGAAAGCGATCCAGCTTGTCAACCATGATGACCTCCCAGGATGCTATGAGGTCCTGCCTCAGGTGACTGTCTTTACCCTTTTTCGGTATTGATTTTTCTTCAGCTGGATCCCCTCGGTAAGAAAGAGAGATCCTCCTTAGGAGCCATATTCCTGAACACACGACTTAATGTGATTCTGATTTTTTAACCCTGGGATAGTCTAGGGACTGGGTTATACAGCCACAGCTGGATGGGTGAGCAGCTGCAGGGGTAAGCAGTTGCTAATTTCCAGGGAAAACTGCCCTCAGTAAAGAAAGAGAGCGTCAGTTAAGCCAACATGCAGAAGTTGCACCTGCAGATAATTGCCTGTGAATTAACCGTGCATGGGAAACAAGGCAGAGCGTGAGGTTTTAATTTACGTTGGTGTCTCTGACTCAAACCACTTCCCTAAGATATAGTAATGCAGTATTTATCAATGGACTTGTTGGACTAGAATACTAGAGAGAATAAAGGAGTGAGAACGGAGAAAGTGCCACTTAATATTTTATGAAATAGATCTTTCCACATGCCACCCACCTAGCCAAGTGGGAGCCTAAGCAGTCAAATGCATGTGGACTAAAGATTTTAAAAGGTCTGTACAGCCCAGAGTAATAGAAGGTTCCTCCTGAGATGTGGTTTACCAAGAATGCATTTGGGTGTAAACTCAGTTCTATAAGTACAGTACTCTGATAAAAACTTATGCAAACAAAATCAAATGGGGGTTTTATTTGGCTACAAGTTCGAAAGACCAATGTGGGGAACACAGAATCAAGGCAGGTTCAGCCTACATCAGAGAAACATTGTGTTCAGCAGAGAAAGGAGATGGCCACCGATCAACACGGTGCCAGAGTTTTGTCTTCAGATCTTGATATTGTATGTTTTTAATAGAAACTTGAAAAACAGGAAATTGTGTTCAGAGTAACCAGAAAGGCAATCTATGTGATCTGAAAACCCAGGTATGTGAGGAGCAAAGGTAATATTTAACCTGGAACAGACAAGAGTTAACTAGGTCAAAATAGCTACCCATCATTAGTCAAAGGGCTGTTATGTAAAAGAGGTAATTTCAGTTATTCTATGGGCTTCTCTGAGACAAAACCAGAAGCCAAGGGTGAGGGGTGACTGGAGACAACTTTTCCAACTTTCAGATGCTTAACAGCATAGCAGGCTAGCCCTGTGCAGTGCATGGTCACCTCCAGAACTCAGAGCAGAGCCTGCGTCTGGGGAGATGGGGAAGCTCTTTCTGCACAACTGGGCTGGGGAAAGGGTGAGGCACTTGCCTCAAGCACAAATTTAAGGGGGAGCCAAAATTTCAGTAATCAAGATAAATAATATTTTCATGCCACATTTTAAGAAATCAATATTAATGAAAAGTCCATGATGAACCAAATATCAAAACTTTATATAAAGACAGAATCAGTATCACTGGTTTTCCTTTAGCCTCAAGCTCCGACAAGGCAGGACAGCTCGCGGGTGCAGAGCGACTAGGCCACATTAGACCCGACCAGGCACAGAAACACCATGGGGTGCTTTGGACAGGTGAAACCTGCACTCTCTGTCCTTCCCTCAAGGAGCTGAGGGTCCAAAGAGTGTTTCTCAGAATTACCTGCACTTATTTTGTCATGAGATTTTTCAAGTTTTGTTTGTGGTTGTTGTCATCGCATAAAAGCTAGTGATAGGCTACAGAACAGGGTTCTGGGCAACATTCATGGGTAGACACTGGACGACATTTATTCATTCGCCCACTTATTTCCCCATTTAAAAAACATGTACTGAGCATATGTTTTGGGCCAGAACGTGGACATTGAGAAGAGGCTCAGGTCATGCCCCAAGAAGTTTCCAGCCAGCAGTGATGATGGACACACAGATAGTGCGTGGATGCCTGGGGGTGTTCAGGATGAGTGTGCAGGCAGGTCGAAGGGAGTGGGCAACCAGGGAGAGGAAACACGTGCAAAGAGTCGCAGGTAGGAAGCAGTATCGTGTGTTTGGGAAATAGCAGTGGCCTCTATTGATGGAGCACAAAGGGACAAGGTGGAAAGGAGTAAAACCTGGAGGCCTGGAGGTCCAGGCTAAGGAAGGTCGCCATGGTAGCTGTTGACCTGAACTAATTCACATTGTGGATAATCTATGCACCTTGCTGAGTTGTGCACTTTGAATTTGGGGCCTTATGCACCCCCATTTACCCAAGCTTCCTTTTGGCAGAATTGGGGTGCCCATCCCTACATACTTGCTTGAATGATTAAACATTTCTAAAGAACCTCCATGGACATAGGACAACACTGGTTTCAAGATAATCTAATATGCTATTGATCTTATACCCTGCGGGGCTTGCTCATCCCTCTGGCTTATCCTTCTCTCCCACCAGGCATGTGAGGACTCACCTGCTGTGCTGCTCTCCAGTCCCAGCCCCTATGGAGTCATCCCTCCCCATAGCACCGTTGACATACCTCTGACCTTGGAGACCCAGGTCACTGGGGAGCACAGGTCCACAGTTTACATCTCAATCTTCGGGAGCCAGGACCCCCCTGTGGTGAGAGCCAATTTTCAGAATTGCAGTTAAAATTTCTGTACTTCCTACCGAACTCCCAGGCCTCTGCTTTTAAGGCACATGCCATATTTGCCTATCCTCCCGTTGTCTGCAGTTCTAGAGTTCTGCATTTTCACTCTGCAGCGGTAAAAAACTAGCAATACGTTACTTCGGGAATCTATTTGAGGATAACTCCCAAAGTAGTGGTGTTTTGTAGCACTTGTTCTTAAACTCCTATAAGGAGTTTTGCACACACAGAGACGTGCCTGACCCTTCTCCAGACCCACCAAGTCAGAATCTCTGCAGGGAGAACACACCTGAATATTTAACAACCTCCTCAGCTGCTCCTGGTGTGAAGCTGGGTTTGGGCATCACCAGCTTGCTGCATGTGGGCTCTGAGATCGGTTTTGTTCACAGCTCCCCAGATCTCTTCCTGTGTATTGACTGGACTCATTGCCCAAGTTAACCTACCTTAGCTGTTGAGAGAAGTAGGCTCTCTCTCCAGCTGTGGGCAGAGGGAGACATGGAAAGCTCTCTGATGCTCGAGCTGAGTGGAAGGATGAATCTTGAATCTTAGAGGAAGTTGTCCAACAGGCTATGAATCCCTAGACATTTTGGTACACTTGGGCGCTGGGTGATGTCAGCATGCATTTCTTTGAAGAGATTCTGATTGCCTAGTTGGCAGAATAAACTAGGATTTTGCTTCTATCTCCCCTGTGTAAGATGCCATAGATAAGCCACCTGACTTCTAAAGCAGCACCACAAGGCAGGTCAGCCTGTAAGGTGCCACTGATCCAGGTCCCCTGCCTGCCTGCACTGTGCCCACCCTGCTCAGATGAAGCACTCTAGGAAAGACAAGGCCCCTTTTCTGGCTGAGGACACAGGGCAAGGGGAGCAGAGCGAGGAGGATTTCAGCCCCCAGCCTGCACAACTGTGCACAGTGGACAGACCTGTGTGCCACTAGAAAAGCAACAATGCGCTCAGTCCAGCCACTTCCCATTAAGTGCCAGTCCTCAGCCCCAAGCTAAGTGTCCTTGAGGCTGGAGTGCTGGGTGGCATAGAAGGACCATTATCTGGTTTCCCCTCAGTGCACGGCTCTGGGCTGACCGAGGGAAGCAGACCGTCCTGGAGGAATTTTCAGACTGGATTCAAAGGTCTGACCAACGTGGCCACCCCTGTGTCTCTCTGACCACGGAGTACCAGGGGGAAGGGATGTTGGTTCTACTGACCTTGCTTTTTATTAAAGAGGTGGCTAGAAGCTTCTGTTTCAATCGATTTTAAAGGCCAGCCATTTTCAGCTATTTCTGTGTTCCTTCTCTCTCTGGGAACTCAGGTGTGTCACTTAAGGAGCATTGGAGAAGGCCCGGTGATCTACGTCTATCCCACTCAAATTGATTTTGGCAATATCTATGTCCTAAAGGAGTTGTCCAGGACCGTCAGCCTATCTAACCAGTCCCTCATCCCTGGATTATTTCAGGCACGCATGGTAAGTAGTCTGTGGGACTTTCATGTAATTAAAATACAGCTTTTCCTAAGTCTTCTAGGCAGTGGCCCAATCTTTGCAATTTGCCTTTGAAAATGATCACCAGAAGCAGACATTTACATGGTTCAACTGCATTAAACTATGTCGTTCTCACCCTCAGTTCCCCATTATTATGACCATCCTGTCAGCTAAGAAACACAATAGGTATGCAGTTTGGTAAATAAGCAAATATGTTTACTGTAATCTCAGTTCAGGAAGATGCTCCAGAGATCTTACTGAGCACTACCTAAGCCCCGCCTCACATCTCAAGAAAACACCTTTTGCATGTCTCTGTAACTGAAAGTGCTTCCCAATAATTAATTTGAACCCTTTTGGCTACAGATGTGTTGGTATGCTAATTCTATTTTTATTCTTTCTTCCTTCTAGCAATCTTTTCACATAGTTTATAAGGATGTATGAAATACAACAAGATAGTATTTGCAAAAAGCAGAAATTAAGCAGCGAAACAAAGATAGATATAAAGATAGATATAAAATGAGTCTGTCCTATTTCTGCATATTTTGTAATGACATCTAGATCTGCTAGTCTTCTATAAACTAATTTTTGAACAGAGATAATAAATTATTTTTGCAGAATTTAGGAATTTCTAATCCAGTAATTGAAGTATTCCTGATTTTGGAAAACATTTTCTAAATTTAAATATGAAATTTAAAATAGTATAGCCCTGTTTCCTGTCTGCAAACGATTGACATTTGAATGAGTGCTAACATTTGATTTCAGCATTTGTCAGAGATTTCTGAAAAAATCAAAATTACGAATTTTATAAAAGCCACTGTCAGAATGAATAGGGCCATAGTTTTCTGCTGATTTGTGACAGCTCCTCAGCGTCATTGGTCCCTAGTAGCACCCATTCACCATTGTCGGTATTCATTTTATCATCATTTGTCATTGCTCCTTGTAAAGGCAGCCATTTCCTATATAGCCACTGCTTTTTTTTTTTTTTTTAACATATTTTTATTGATTTCAGAGAGAGGAAGGGAGAGGGGAGGAGAGAGAAAGAAACATCAATGAGAGAAAACCATTGATTGGCCGCCTCCTGCACGCCCCCGACTGGGGATTGAGCCCGCAGCCCGGGCATGTGCCCTGACCGGGAATCGAACCCCGATCGCCTGGATCCTAGGTCGATGCGCAACCGCTGAGCCACTCCCGGCCGGGCGCCACTGCTCTTTTTAACGTGAGGTTCAGATACAACCCCACTCCTCTTCCAGTGCCTGTGGCCCTTGTGNTCCCGGCCGGGCGCCACTGCTCTTTTTAACATGAGGTTCAGATACAACCCCACTCCTCTTCCAGTGCCTGTGGCCCTTGTGTAAAGAATACGTTTAAAGAAAAATCCTACAGAAAAGGTGCCTTTGCTAGTCTTTATGCAATTAATTGATGTGTTTGGTGGCAGGCATGGGGGCTGATGGGTTTGGTGAATTCCTTAGGAAGTGTTGCTTCCAGTCCAGTTTTGTATGTGCGGAGCTCACAGTGGGGGAGCAAAAGAGTCAGCTGACCAGCCCAGGACCATGAGAGGTGGGCCCTGGAGGGTCCTGCCGGATTGCAGAGCAAGGGGCTGGGCAGAGACCACAAGAGTGCTTACATACAAATACAGCAACGGTTCCCTTTCTCACCACCTCCTCTCTCATTCTCAGATATCTCCAGATTTCACTTTTTATGGCAATTCTTGGTACATTTCAAGAACAAAAGTACATAAAGGATCTATCGTGTCTTTTTGCTAATATAGTGTATATATTGAATGAGCCAACTGATTGTTAAAATGGGATTTTTCCTTTCCACAAAGGTTTCATGATGCCATCTTTTGATTCTTTAATACCATCTTAAATCAGCAAGCTCCGTTTCCTAGGCTCCAAATGTGTGCTATAAGTGATCTGCTGTAGAATGTGTTTTTCCCTCAATCCTGTCTTAGAAAACTGCTGTTTATTGAGTTTATTGCCTTTAAAACATCAAAGTCATTTCAACTATAATTCTCACAGGCAAAAATGAAACTCTTCATATTGGGATTTTTGCTGGATTTCCTAGTAAATACTGTATGTGTTAATGTTATATAGAAATCAAATTATACTGACTTAGAAATTAACAATAGTGGGAAGAAATAGAAATACTTTTAGTAAATTTCAACTTAGTATACAGTACTGAAACTGCAAATTCATTGTTACAGAAATTACTAAGCATTAGGAAACAGTCTTAATTAATAATTGTTTGTTCCCTAACTAAGCCTACTGCTCAGAACCCAGATAAATTGTGCTCAAATATTTACTGCCCTTAATGTCTAGCTCAATGACAAATAAGTAGGTCAAGGGCACACTGTTCACTCCTTCCGTTGTTACTACGAATTTGGATCTGGAAGTTTTTTTGTTTTCCTGTGGATGCCCCAACGGTAGGGGTCATGCCCTCCTCTCCTTCGGCTGTCAGTGAATGTCAGCCCTCCCTCCACAGATGCTGCCCCACTGCCAGCCGTCTGTCCCACTCAGCCTTGTGCACGGATGCCCATCAGGACAGACGCTGTGATCAGATACTCCCTTAGCAAGGAACATCTGTTTGTTATCAGCTGGAGGGGCCTGGAGGTGGGAAGCTGGAAGCCCACTTTCCCCTTGATGTTGAGAAGATAAATGACACTAAGAGCAATTTTGAATTTCTCAGAAATAAATGCTATACACACAAAAAAGATTTTTTAAAAAAACTGAAACCTCTTCATCTAATATGTGTGAAGAAACAGTGAAGGTTATATTCTTTCCTGTCCCATTAAAGCTTAACTTGTCCTGAGAGTTTTTTTAAAAAATTGATTAGTAAAAGAAGAGTGTTCTGTGACCGGGAGCAGTAATTTCTCCTTTGCTTTAGAATGCCTGAAATACCAGCCTCCCTAAAGGGTTCCCATTGCAGACTCACAACAATAGAGTGAGCCGCCTCTGGTTTAGAGGGGTAAAAATATATATATCAGAATGTGAGAGCAGAGCACAAAAGTCTCCTTTGGCAAAAATTTGTAAACTCCGCTTGTACACACAGTGCTCCTTCAGGAAGATGGATGTCCCCTCTCTGGGTGACAGCGGAAATGAGGGTGAGAATCTGGTAGTTTCCTCCAGGCCCTGGGACCTCCGCACTGGGTGGAAGATAGATAGATGCCTTGTTTGCATGGCTGCCCCTCACTAGGTAGAGCAAGCACAGTCATTGCTCAGCGCTGGGCTGAAAGCATCTGGAAGCCTTTTTCTTTTACTCTTGGCTCTAATTCAGCCTCAGGCACTGGTAACTTGAGAACTTGTGTACAGATGTCAGCGACACCTTGGGGTTCAGCTGGCACCTTTGTGCATGCGGGAGAGGCCATTGCAGTTGGGTCTTTAGAGTTTTCAGGATCCAGGATCCAGGAATTCTGACGCCTCAGTCAAGCATGTTTCTTTTTAAACATTTATTTTCTTGGTCACTTGCCAGAGCCACACTCAGAGGACTTTTACATCTCCTTCAGACCCTAAGCCACTGGGTTATCTCTTCATTTAAATGGGGACCCCCTTTCTATATTTACATGTTTATATTCCTGTCTCCTTCAGATGACAAGGGTCTCTTCCTTGAATTCCCAACACCCAGCAGCAGGGTTGGCAATTATGATGGTGACGATACAATGACATTAATTATGACTGAGGTTTACCCAGTTCTGTTTGCAACTTTAGATGCATATTTCATCTGTTATGACTTTGTGAGAGAAATACTATCGTAATGACCATTTGAACGAGGTAGAAACAGAGGTGCAGGCAGGTTAAGTAAATTGCCATAACAGCGAAGTGGCAGAGCGAAGTGGCAGAGCCCCGTGCCGACTCCTGGTGCTCTGATTCCAGACCCATGCCCTCTCCCATGGTGCTAACTGTACTGCCTAACTTTGCCCGATCAGTGGTTATTAAAATGGAATCAGAAATGGTGAAAGGATTTTGGTTTCGTGTTCATACAAGACCCTTAAAGATAGACACCTAGAAGAACAGGTTTTGCTGAAAGGGCAAGAGAAGAAATTAAGGAGCATTTCTGAAATAGACCAAAGGACCAGATATTCTTCGTTTTATTCAGAGATGTGTTGAAACGAATACAGGCAAATAATCTGCATGATGTCATTTTTCAATCAACCATGATTCCTTCCATTATATATCAGAAATAACCACACAGTCTCCCTTCCCACTGTTTTGGATCCTTTGTAGTATAGTGTGACAAAACACTCAGTTCACATATGTAAATATGCGTTAAAATTCTTCACTTAAAGGAGGTTTAAATTCAAAGTTATGACCCACTTAACAAAATAAACAGACAAACCCAGAAGGAGATTGGCAGGCATTTTACTTCCAGTGAGACTCCTGGTGCTGGACCCAGTCTTTTTCAGGAGATAGTGAAATTGTGGGCGTTCTGGAGAGCTCATCTGTAGCTTGCTGTGGCCGCTGGCTTGTTGAAATTAGTAGCTACATGACACCATCCCTACCCACCCGAAGCTCACACTGTAGGTCTAGAACTTAGTTTCCCCTTCACTGCGCTGGAGTGTTAGTGCTCGAGAGATTTCTGATGGACAAACAGCAACTCTCCAAGGCTTTTTGACAGATGCTGTTATTAGGATATTACACCCCATAATGCGTGTGAAGAGAAGGTAGCATGAGCTGTTTCTCAGCCTTCAGTGGGTAGATTAACTTTGCCCTCAGAATGAACCATTACTTTGATGGAAGAAAACAGGTAAGAGAAAAAAAAAAAGATATAAGGAAAAAGGAAAGAAATGGGCATGAGTCAGAGACCAAATGCAGTTGTTTAGTTGTTGCTTCTGAAGGTTTTGCAAAATAGTAGCTTTGTTTCCTAAAACATACCCTGTTATAATCTTTGGGTTTTAGCTCATAGTCACTCTTGTGTTGAATGTGATTTATGCCATAGTCCTTTCTGTGTCCTCAATACACTCCCGCGCCCTTTGGGTTTGCAGTGTCCACTTT